ATTTTCGTCCCTACTACTCTGATAAAATATTAACATTAACCCTTGGGTTTAATGCATTAAGAAACCAATCAATTAAGCACTTATAAAACACCTACAATATGGCCAGTATTAAGTTTGTTCCTTTGGGGGTATATAAAAAGTATAGCAGATGTATTTCCTGTCCTTGAGCCACGTACAAACTAATTCCAAATGTGCTTTTTATTTATTCTTATCTAAAAACACAGATTATCCTACAAAAGCATTAAAAGGCCAGGAAAGATGAAAAGCCTTCTTAGCTTTGTAACCCTTTAAGGAGAAAGTGCCCAAAGGGATAAATTAGGCTATGGTGCAACAAGTACTGTAAATCTAACTAAGAAGTATGATGTTCATTACTGGAGTTTTGTGAACATCAGGATCCATTCAGACTGGTTCTGCAAAGCATATTGAGCTACCTGTAGGAAAGTACAGTGGATCCTCCACTAAAGTCCTACCCTGATGATTCACTGTGGCATGGAGTTGACCCTGAGTTCTCAAAGGCTATTCCAGTAAAGCACAAACTCTAGCAGGTCTTACCAAGCTAGAAAGGCTTTAAGTATGGGCCTGGCAGTTGACTGAATTTCTGTCACCTGAGTATCAGGCTGTCTAAATGCAGAGAGGCTCATCACCAGAAAAGTGTCCACCAAGTGATGAAATTTTCAGCTACAGAATTTCATGAAATGTGGTGGGGTTGGATCTGCCTCAGGGGAGGGAGAATCCACACTGATGAAATTATAAATCTTTCAAAAGATTTAAGGTATTCTAATGACATTGGCTCTCGTTAGAGAAGTAATTTTAAAATATTCAATTAAAGGCCTTCTTTGCTACACATGGATTACGTTTACTACACAAAGATTTCTCTGAACTGATGTCAGTTTACTAGTGGCCTAGAAATTCAACAGGTTAAAACTTTAGGTTCATTTCCAGCAAGTTGATTATAAAGAGCAGCCAAAAACATGGAAAACCTACATTTCAGCAATGTTCACAAAAGCAGACTACCAGAGGAAGCATAGAAACTTGATATTTTGAAGACCACTTGAATAATGAGCCTGTCCTTGCATTTCCAACAAGATAACAAGAACGGAATAAATTCACTAACTAGGTGCAAGGAAAAGAGACAAGCTTTGCCAACAGAGTCCTGTGTCATACATACAGCTGACCTTTTCTCACTGTATCTAAGACTTCAAGGTCTGCCCAAGAAATTTCCCATCTTTTAAGCAATCTATGGCTTTCACTGTATTTGACAGAGACAATAATACTTGGCTTGATCAATGGTCATTCTGATATAAGTGACATTACCTTTCTGAAATACTTAAGCACTATCACAAGCTTCACAGGAACACAGAAAGTAATGTACTGCACAGAATGGGACAAGCTGGTTTCTAAAAGCCATAGGCAAATTTACAACATTGAGCTTGTTACCTCAGACAAAACTTTGTATTACCAAGCACACCACACAGAAGCAGCCTTTTATAACAATTAAAAAACTCCACCACTCAGTATCATGCTTTGTAAATTTGTATAAATGTCCCGTTTTTAATACACACACACACCAAGTCAATGAAAACCCTGCAGCAAGGATTTTTTTCTGTTTATAAATTATACAAACTATAATTTAGGAAACTGGTACTTGTTGAAATTATTTGAAGTAAATTATTAGGCAATTATGACTTTAAGAAATACGAATGAAGGCTCTAAAATAACTTCAGCATACACCATTGAAACTTCACAAGTTGCTTTCCAAGTTGCACAACTTAATTCATCCCAGTAGGTATAGATGGATCATTTTTATGATGCTTTATAAAAGCATTTTTCTATTTACAAAATACTTTACAATAATTATTATTTCTTCCAAAATCTGTGAGCAGCTGTATTATCCTCATTTCATAAATGAGGAAATAGACAGAAAATCAATTCTTCTGTTTTAGGGCATTTAGAACCAATATATGAATTTACAATTATTAAACTCTCAGCCTGATGTGCCACACTACCACCCCACTTTAAAAAAAAATATACAGGTGGATTAAATGAACCTTTCTTTTCTAATCAAATGCCTATTTACTGTCAAATAAAAAGGACTGACAGTAAGAAGAGCTGGAAATCCTACAAAAGATCAAATGCAAAGAAGTATTGGGAAAACTTGACATCATTACTTCTTATCCATGAAATTTGGTCTCATTCTACATTTTAAATAAAATATTAAAAACTTTGGGGTTTGGAATCCATGCAAAGGGTGAATCTAGGGGTGTGAAACATTTTAAGCTTACAGCTTGAGGAAACCTATGCCCTTAGGGTAAGACCTGAGACCAGTTCAAAGTTGGGTAATCCTCCAAAGATAGAAGAAATCTGAGGCTATATGTAATAGCCAAATCAGATTTGAGAAAGAGTAATCTTCAAATAAATTATGATCTTTTGTACCTCAGTTCAGAATCCTGATCATTAACAGGTAGCTAACTACATCCATCTAAGAACTAAAGCACACAAGTGTGCAACTATGAAAAGAACCATTAAGCCATAAAGTAGTATAGATGGATAAACTTATGAATCAGATACTTCCCAAGGCCATAATCTATTCCTAGTTGCCTCTGGAATCTTCATGGGTGCTGAGGAAAAAGGGTATAATTTGCTTTATGGGACACTAACGGCTTAAATATCCAACTCGACCCTATAAAGTGGCTTATACATCAGAGAATATCGCTCTATATGAAGTTTTGGTAACGAGAAAAGGTTAAAGTAGTCATCACATCCTGTAAGTTCTGCTTTCCTAAGGGAACTTAATTATTAATAAAAACATTCAAAAAGAGTATAAAAGGAAAAAAATAAGAATAGTAAATTTTCTTTTCTGGTAGCTGATTTTATCCACAATCCCTATTATAAGATTAGTTCAGGTATTGTTTATTTTACCAATGCTGTAAATAAAAAAATACAGTACCTGTTCTTTTAGAACATTATCAGTTTAACAGTCATTAATAGACTCCCTTTGTATTTTTTATAATTTTGTTTAAAATGTCCCAAACACAATTAATGAACAATAGTTTTATCAATATCAAAAATACATTAAAATTATCTATGTTGGCCAGTGCATTTGACATGCCAGTGTGAGAAAGCAATTTCTTAGCCAGATACATCTCAATAAAACTGTAATTATATGCGAAATAATGTATTTTAAAACTTAAAGCACCCTTTATATAATGTATTCATTTACATTTTAAACTGTAACCAAAATCTGACCTATGCAACATGTCCAAATAACCATCACTTGAGCAACCTTATTTACATTCATGAATGTTAAGCCTTACTGCTGATAACTTTTTAGTAGGAGAAAGGTTCTCTACTATTCAAAAGGGTGGAATCAAGACCACTGGCTTAGGTCCTATCTTAAATATCAACAGATATTATCTTTTCATATATTATTAAAATGTGTGCAGTATTTAAATATATTATGAGGAGTCAAGATACATGGATGAGCTAATTATCGCTACTAAGTAATTTAAAAGTTTCAAAAATGCAGTGATGCTCTTCATGAAGCTCAATATAGCAAAACTAGTATTCAATTTTAACCACGCAAAAATAAATGTTATATATATATATTTAAAAATATATATGACTTAAATCTTACACTCTTTATTGAGTGTTTTTTATTAGACAATTGTTTCCTTAGTTAGGAAAGCAGAATTTGTAATATGATGACTACTGCCACAGTGGTTTAAAGACTGACTTTTTTTTTTAACCAAAAAGAGCTTGTCCATGGCTATCAAGCAATCAAAAGAGAATCAGTAGACAATCACATTTACATCTTAATAATATAGTACTTCTCCCATTAAAAAAATTCTTATCATGGAATAGACATACATTTGTTATTTTAACTGCAACTCAGTTTCAGTATAAAATGTAATCAGGTCAAATAATAACAAATAATGAACAAAAAGTAAGGAGTGTACATGCATTAATATTGAACCTTATGCTATTATCTGAGTACGTAGGTACAAAGGTGACAGATTCCCACAGAAATAATTAGCCATGTAATATTAAAATTACTTAGCAAAAGTGGTCATTTTTTTTAAGGACCAATTTCTAGGCTAAGTTTAAAAATCTTAACTTTTACTTTCATTATGTTTTATAATGAAATGTTCCTCTCAAAGTTACCTACTGAATTTGCTACCAGCAAACACTATCATATATCTTTAGTTTAGGATATATGAGTATCAATGTAATACTTATTTTTCAGTTCTAAACAGCATGTGCATGACAAAGTTTGAAACAAATAGGCTAGCCATTATTTGTACACTATAATAAATACACAAGAATACAACGTTTTATAAAAATACAATTTCTAATCAATTTAGGAGATTTACAAACCATGAGAACATTAAATACTCAAACACAAGATAGTCCCTTTTATGGTATAGTGCCCATTGGGCTAGATTTAAAAGAGGTTCTTCTCTGGTAGTTGTGTACAGTTGATTATATAAGTAATCTGTATAAGATCGGTTCAGGTAGTTTCTATTTTCCAAGAGTTATAAGTAAAAATACGGTACCTGGTCATTTAGAACATTATTAGTTTAATAGTCACTAATAGACTCCCACTATATTTTTTAAAATTTTGTTAAAAATGCTGAAGACATGATGAATACAAGTACTGCAGTAACATCAATACAAAAAAGCAATACAAATTAAGCTGCTGAATACAAAAATACATTGAAATACATAAACACCACAATGTAACCTATAGCACTAATTCAGAATTACTTTATGTGAAAAATTAAATAAAAAGTTTTGTATTAGACAACTTAGGTATTCTCACCTTTTAACAACATTTTAGTTACATACTTCACAATTTTTTATATACAGTATAGAAGAAAATACTTTGAAAAGATATGCCATTTTAAATGCTTTAGTAGATGATATAGTTACCATTTACACAAAAATATTGACAATGAATAAAAGTGATGTCTTTAACATCAACTGCTCTAAAAAATGAGGATTAAGATTTTTTTACTTCATTTGTTTATATTTCAGTCAGCCTGATAAATTCAGAAGATCTTAGTCTGAAATATTTATTTCAAAGTAATATACACTGTATCGCTTGAAACTACACATCATACAAAAGTGGCAATTATTTGTCTAAACATTTATTATGAAAGACATCTTGCACATATACAGGTTGAGTGCTGAGTTTTTCATGATGTTTTATTTACAATGAAAAGTGCTTTCATCAGCTCTAACGTGATACATCTGTTTCTATGTGTCAATTATTACAGTCTCCCTGAAGTTGAAAAAATATGTAGAAAATACCACATCTTTGCAAACACTAGAGCATATAACTGCATGTGGTTCTGGAATTAGCAGCTGAAAAAGTGTTGATAATTATAATTTAAAAATAAATAAAGCATAGAGGTAAACCAGTTACAAAACAGCAGAGAACTGCAATAGTCGCAACAGTAAAAAGAATTTTTTAATAAAGCACTGCTAACAAAATGGTGAAGCTGTTGGATCAAAAGTCTTAAAAACATCCTTCAGGGATTTATCATCTGATTCTCCATTTGGATCACTATCTGGCATTTGATTCACCTGTCCTGGCTGTCTTGTCTGTCGTGGATCATTGTACTGTGGTCTTATTAATCCTGTTAAAGCCTGGATTGGAAGGTTGTGCACTGCTGGTGCAGTACTGGAGTGTGGGGGCTCAGGTTTAACTTGAGTCTTAACAGTATTATTCTGTTTATCTGACTGTGGGTCAACTGACCCATCTGTAGTCTTTTCCAAATTTGGAGTGGTCTTCTGCAAAGCTTCTGAAGAAGAAGGCTCATTTTTGCCATTATTTTGTAAGCCACTGATTTTTTTCTGGTTCTCTCCATTCTCTCCTAAAGAAAGTGGTGCTGGATCTGATAAAGACAATGAACCATGTTCCCTTGGATCATACAAACTAATGCCACTAAGAATAGAGCTTGGTGTTCCTAGTCTAACACCAGTTGAAGCTGACAGTTTGGGAGCATATGGAGGAAGAGAATCAGATTCAGATTTATTAGTTACTGCCTCTGAGATCTGTGATGAACCAGGACAAGGTCTGGGCAAACGTGGATCAAATTTTGATGGATGAGGATCCTTTGCAATCCCATGATGAGAGTCTGTACTGGACAGCCTATGAAGTCTAGGATCAACGTTTTTTTGCAACCTAGGATCCCCTAATTTATTTCCTGGACTATGGGTTTCTCCAGGTTGGTCCAAGTATCCACTTCTTGCAGTATTATTTTTGGCTTTTGCTGCTAATCTTGGATCAGCTGGCATTGTACTTTGATGAAGATCACTACTTATATTACGTAATTTATTTAGCCTCTGGTCAGCTATAAGTGGGGGAAGAGGTAAGTTGATTGATGAAACTGGGTCAGGTTTAGGTAAGGGTACTGGAAGTAAATCTTCAGGAGCCCACACAATGTGTTTTGCAAAGTTTGGTTTGGTCAGGATAATATCCATTTTAATATGGCTGAATTGTCTAAGCTGTGACCTTGGATCTTGTAGTGTTACACCAGGTAAAGATTCTAAAGGTATTAGGAAAGCTTTTTCTCTCAGCTCTCTTTCTACTTCTTCTTCTTCATCATCTACTCCTTTTTGTTTGACTTTAACTCCAGAATTTGCATGGTGTAAGTCAAACTTTCCTCCACCAACAGAAGGACTTGCATGACCACTTTCATTAAGTTTTAATTTCCTGGGATCTCGTGCAAGTCTGGGATCAAAAGGGGCAGAATCAGAAGGTTTTCTAGAGCTTTGTCTTGAGACAGCCCTAAGTCTAGGATCAACAGCTTGGCTTCCTGTATTTTTGTCTTTAGCAAGTCTTGGATCAGTAGGAACACCAAGATCTGTGGAATGTTGTCGTTGATTCCTTAGAGTCTCTGTTTGTTTCTGTAAAGTTTTCAATATTGATTTGACACTACTCCCCTCTTCTTCTTCACTACTGGAATACCAGTTAACATTATCATCTAAAAACAAACAAAATTAAAAAAAAAGTCACATTTAAATTTAAAATTCCAAAGAAGTACATGGTCTCTGCAATAATGTTCACTTAAAGCCGAACCAATAATGAGGGAAATGTAAAAACAGGATCTAGAGCAAGGGACTCTTTTTGGACTAGACTGTTCTAGTGAACACATGTGGTTGCATGGTTGCTAACTATAGTAACAGAGTCAATGATTTCTCTAGAGCAATGCATGTCAAAATCAAATTGAAATGAAGGCCACCAAACTGCACATAAGGATCCCTATGGGTGCATATTGATTTGGAAAACCACATATTAACATTATCCAGATTTAAATAATTGGAAAGACATTAATTGTTCATGGTTAGACAGGGCCAATACAATAAAAATGACAATTCTACCCAAACTAATTTATATATTCACCACCATCTCAATTAAATTACCAAAATATTATTTTACTGGGATAGAAAAATAATAACAAAATTCATTTGGAAAAACAAAAAGGCAAGAATAATCACAAGAAATAATGGAAAAAAGTGTAAAGGAAGGAGGTTTAGCAGTACCAGATTTTAAACTGTATTATAAGGCAACAATTATCAAAACTATCTGGTACTGGCTAAAAAACAGACAGATCAATGGAATACAGCAGACAATTTACGGCAGCAAATAAACATAATAACCTTGTACGTGACAAGCGTAAAGACTTAAGATTTTGGGATAAGAATTCATTATCTGGTAAAAATTATTGAGAAAACTGGAAAACAGTATGGCAGAACTGGACATAGGCCAATATCCCACACTATTTACCAAGATAAGGTCAAAATGCATACATGACCTAGATTAATACAGAGATTTTACAAGAAAATTAGAAGAATATATACAATTTAAATAAGCTTGTTTATTTATTTTCTCATCCTATAGTAGATTGGAAGCCACAATTTAGAAGATGGGGACAAAAAAAAGCACTATAAGTAGGCACATGGACAACCATGAGAAGTGATTACAATTTTATTTCAAAGGAGAATATTCCTAACTAAAGAAAAGAAGCTACAAGAAATTAAAAAGCACATCAGGGCCACTTAGTATAGGGTTTTAGGTAAGGGTACTGCAAGTAAATCTTCAGGAGCCCAGGGGAAAACAACTTAATTTCTCCTTAAGACTTCACTTTATTTTGGCATACTACAGTCATTGATATTCACAATGATGACCTCAAAAAATAAAAATAAAGGTTTATGTTCCATATACTACTTATAAGGGAAGCCCTGTTGAATTTTGAAATGTTTTCCACCAAGTCAATTTTTCAAGCTAAAAGGGTTAAATCCAGCTATGTAAAAAATTCAATTATATGAAGCCCCTACAACACCTGATTATTCCAAATAAATGAGGTATTATTTTGCTACGATTTATCAGGAAATGACTAAGACAATTTATTATCATGTAGTTTCTACAGGAGAGAAATAGGTAGCAGCTACCTACTGTTATTTCTATGAAGTTTCTACAAGATTGAAACAGCTAAAATCACCTGCTGGCAATACTGTTTTATTTGGTCACTTAAATATGTAAAAACATCCCTCCTCTGCCACCAAGTTCCTATATATATTCCTTTCCCCTATTAGATTATTAAGCCTTCTAAGAGCAAGGACTATTGTGCTTTTTCTTTTTGTATCAACAGCCCTTAGCACAGTGTCTGACACAAAGTAAGCACTGAATAAATGCTTTTTCGTTCATTTGTTTACTCATAATACAGAAAGAATAGGAAATTCTCCCAAATATTCAACAAAGCAGGAGAGAGTATTCTATGTTCACTACCCCAGAAAATGAAGTATATGAACTACTTATAACTTAGTTCACCAGTCTTCTCACTGGAGATCCATTTAGATTTCCAGATTAACTGGACTGTTTTGAAGGGGGACTAGAAGTAAAGACCTATTTCTTCACATTGATCCCTAGAGCCTTTTGCTCCAACTCTGACCCATTTAATATTAGGCTTGGATTGTCCATTTGTTAACCCTCACTACATGATCATCCAATTTCCTTTTCCAATCATTCTCTGCTCTTGTCATTTTAGTGTCTGCTCAAAGGGTTCACAGTTGGGGCAGTAAATGGGACCTATAATGGGGCTGAGAGTAGTGGGTTGGCAGTGGCAGAGTTAAGCAGTGGAGAGGAATCCTGGGTAAATGGAACCAACCAATTTTGATTTAGACCATTCTAGTCACAGAGGAAGCATAACAAGTAAGATCTTATCATATCTGATATTACCTTCTTCCTTGCTTAATGTCCTTTGAGACTGGTGACCAACTGGTTCTCCATCCTCCTGATGTTTCTGACTAAGTCTTACAAAGAGCGCTTTCTGCATTGCAGGAAGGAAATCTGGTACATTTATAACAGTTTTATGGCCTGATGTGTTGATGCAATCTGACTCACTTCCACTGTTTAATGAGTCTTGAGCCATGTGAGGTTGATGTTCAGCAAATTCACCATGCCACATTCCATCTGCATGTATTCAACAACAATAAAAGAAACAAACACTGGATAATATTAAAAAAAAAATCTCACTGGATAATAGTCTGAGCTTTATAAGGTATGGATTCCCCAACAATAAGTGAATTTTTAGAAGAAAATATTTACCTAATCTCAAACTTGAAGGTATAATTTTATCAAATTATGAAAAACAACAAGAAAGTATTTAAAGCTTTACTATGTTAATGCTTTTGGATAAATTTTAAAGGTATTTAGTAATCTTCAAGATTCAAGACAAACTCTAAACAACTGAAAAATCCATGAAGGCCATAGAGGACAGAAATCTTTAATGTCTCACAGAAGAGATAAGGGACTATTAGGGCAAAATGTTGTCTATTTTGTCAGATGCCGTCACTGTTATTTGTTTTTGTTTAATTGCTTTCCTTTGGCACAAAGGAGTTGAATCCTCCTTTGTAAAAAAGGAAAAATGGTTAAGCTAAAACATATGATATAGTGACAGCAGCTGACACTGTACGTAAAAATCTGTCTCCATGTTCCTCTATTTCATTACTTGTTTTCTAGGACCAAGACTGAATATTACAATTACTCAGCATTGGGCTTTCTTTTAGCTTTCCATTCATTTATATTCTTCAATTCAACAAAGACCTACTAAGTTCCTACTACATACAAGGCACTGTGCTAAGCACTGAGGATATAATGATAAAAATGAACAGTTTTGTCCTTTGGACAAGCTTATATTCTGCTTTCATTATAGCCATTGTGCAGATTGTTATTGTTTCAATTCATACAAATTTTCCCATGTTTCTCTTAATTCCTAATATTTCTCAATGAACAATAATATTTCATTATTCATATATCACAGTTTGTTTGGCCATTCTTTAGTTGATGGGGGAACTGTGTTTCCAGTTCTTTGTTTCCACAAAAAGTGCTAGAATGATTTTACTATATGGTCAACCTTTCCCCCTGTCTTTGATTTTTTGTTGGACACAGCATAATTATTTAATGAATGTATAATTAGTATAATTGGTCCATATCCATTTGAATATTTCTGGTATATTTTAATCATGTGAATACAGCCTAGAAATCAAGATCACTAGCCTAATTTTACCTCTCTTGCCACTTGTTTCCTCATTTCATTCCCTGAAGTCTTTCTTAGGAATAAAGGAATGAATTTCTTCATTTCTTTACTCAATGAACCCAGTGTTATTGAATGCTGCCCATTTCCATTCCCAGGACTCATTTACTCACACCTTGGCCAATGCTGTTGCCACCATTTGTGACAATTATACTCAAAAGTAAATAGGGCTTGGTAAAGTAATCTTGAAAAGCACTGGGATTGTGGCGGCAAAGGACAGGAACAGTAAATCAGCAGTCCAAGGAAGTCAGCCTGATTCTTATCTTTTTGGATTGTTCTGAAAAGACAAGGTTCTATTAAATGCTGAAGTAAATATTTTATCATGATCAAATGCCCAAGTATACAAGCATTGTCCTTGGAGGCAGCTACGTAGCAGTGAATAGAGCGCTGGTCCTGAAATCAGAAAACTCTGACCTCAGACACTTACTAGCCATGTGATCCCAGGCAAGTCACAACCTGTGCCTGCCTCAGTTTCTTCAACAATAAATGGGGAAAACAATAGCACTTACCTCCCAGCACTATTGTGAGGATTGAATGAGATAATATTTGTAAAGTGCTTAGCACAGTGCCTGGCACACAGTAGGTGCTTAATGCTTGTTCCCTCCCTGCTTCCTAAAGTTATCAAATTAAATAGAAACAGAACATATATTGCAATACTTCAGTGGATCAGTGATCTCATCAACTTGGTTACTTGTTCTACTGTCAATGTTGATCAAAACCCATCCATGACTTCTCATTCTGGGCAATTCTTATTTATGTTCTCCATAAAGGTTCTACCCAATATGTTGTGGGCCTTGTTCTAGGTTATTGTACATCTCGTTGGTTCCATAATAGAACTTTATCTATCTGTTATCCCTTGCTATATTAGCATTACACCTAATAAATAGAGTGCTGGACTAAGAGTCAAGAAATCCTGTGTTTAAATTCTGTCCTGTAGCTTTGCAACTTAGGAGTCATTCTGGTCTCCTCATTTTCTCTCACTCCCTCATATCCAATCTCCTGCCAAGGCCCTTCGATTTCACATTTGCACCATCTATTGAATATGTCCACTTCTCTCCTCTGATACCCCCATCATTGTACTGAAGGCCCTTATCACCTCACACCTTGATTACTGAAATACTCTTGCCAAAGGGTATGAATGTCTCATTCTAGTCCACCCTCCATTTAGCCATCAAAGTAAATTTCCTAAGATGTAGGTCTGAACATGTCAACCCACAACTCAAAAAACTCTAGTAGTTCCTTATTACCTCCAGAATAAAATACAAAGTTCTCTGACATTCAAAGCCCTTCATAACATAGCCCCCTCCTACCTTTATAGACTTCTTATACATTACTCCCCAAGCTTTACTCTCTGATTCAGTGACACTGGACTCCTGGCTGTTCCACCAACAAGACACTCCATTTCTGGGCTCTGGGCAATTTTTTTCTGGCTGTTCCTCATATCTGGAAAATACTCTTCCTCCTCATCTTTGCCCACTGACCGCCCTGGCTCCCTTTAGTCTCAACCAAAATCCCATCTTTTACTAGAACCTTCCTTAACCCCTCTTAATTCTGGTGCCTTCCCTCTGTTAATTATTTCCCATTTATTCTGTATATAGCTTGTTTTGTTTTTGTCTGGATGTTGTCTACCTCATTAGACTGTGAACTCTTTGAGGGCAGGGACTATCTTTTGCCTCTTTTTGTATCTCGAGAGCTTAGCATAGTGCTTGACACTCAGTAGATGCTTACTAAATGTTTATTATTTGATTGATTGTGACCTTGGGCAAATTACTTACCCTCTCCTATCTCTCAGGTCTCTTACACCTATAAATCCAAGATTCTATGATCATTTTCCAATTATACATTTCTCAAATGTTTCTTATGCCATGTCCTGTGTATAGATCATTGATGGAAATATTCTGTAGCCTACTTAAACAAATCATGCATCTGTCCATTGCCTTTTGCATTACCCATAATTTTCATACTTTGGATACTGTGATGTTATAGGATACACAAATATACAACTTCACTAGAAAACCAGTGTTAAAAAGATGGATTTTGTGTCTGGGAAAAGCTTGGTACTGTTAAAAGCACTGCACAAATTCCTAAATAAAATTCAGCCTATTTTCTTCACCCTATTCATTTGTGGTCAGTTCACTGTCTATCTGCAGTGTCTGTCCTAGATTATTGATTACTAGACAACAGGCTCACAGTCTGGACAACATACATTTGTTTTTCCTATATAGGCAAGGAAGTTAAACTTTTTTGAATAATGGCATTTTAGCTATTCATCGAATAAAGTCATGAATATCACTGGAAAGGTATTATTCTTGGACTTAACGCAATTAACACTAAGACATTTGCAAACAGGAACATTTGGACAAAATTTTTTGTGATAATGGCTCAGACCTTTGGTGAGCCATTCACGTTTTCTACTCTGCTTGATGTTAATAACAAAGAGATCACTGAACAGTTATTTCTGTGGTCATATTCACCAAGGAATCTTATATTATCTTAATACATGCATTGTAGACCCTTGTTGAGGAGATTTTAAGACCTACCAAGTCAAACTCTTTTTTTGGGGGGTAATCAAGTCCATATGGTCTTTTTTTATTTTTTAAACCAATGACTTGGATAGTAGCATAGACAATGTATTTATTAAATTTGCAGATTACAAAAAGGTGGGAGGGACAAGCAATAATGGATTATAGATTCAGAATTCAAAAGTATCTCTACAGACTAAAACAGTGAACTGAATTGAAAAGGATGAAATTTAATTGGGATAAATATAAAGTCTTAGATGGGTTTAAAAAAATCACCTTCGCTAATACAAGATGGAAGAGGTATGGCTAAAGAGACACTTTTCTAAAAAAGAGATGGGTATTTTAGTGGACTAATATTTAGCTTAACATGTTCAGGAACCAAGAAAGTTAATGCAATTTTAAGTCATACTAAGAGAATCATAGCTTCAATGTATAAAGAGATAAAAGTCTTTTTGTGATATATATCAAGCATTAAACACTTATTAAGAACATACTATGTTCCAGGTACTATGCTAAGCTTTGGGGAGACAAAAAGAGGTAAAAGATATTCCTTATATTCAAAATGCTTACAATCTAAATAGAAAGCTATGACATCAAGAAAAATACGGTTGAAGTCTTGCATTTAATATATAGTAGTGGAGTAACCAAAGGCAAGTCACTTCACCTCTTATTGCCCCAGGCAACTCTTTATTCTAAGTGGCAAACAGATAGTTCATCTCTATCTGTGGATAGGACTTTCCCATAGTGATGTAACAGGACTGAATACTCCAATTCCCTAACCAACAGAAAAAGCCCCATTGTATTCTTTTTGGTCAGACCATATCTGGGGCCTTGGATGCAACATTTTAGGAAGATGACTGATAAACTGTTAAGAGTCAAAGGGAAAGAAGGACAGCATCTAGAATAGTGATCTTCATGCTATATGTGGATCAGCTGCAGGAACTGGGGGTGTTTAACCTGAAGAAAAAAGCCTCAGGAGTTATATGATAGCTGTTAAAATATTGAAAGGCTTTCAGTTGAAGATGGATTAGATCTGTTTTGTTTGGCTGTAGAGGGCAGAACTATAAGCAATGGGTAAAAATATATAAGGCAAATTTAAGGCACGACGTTAAAAAAAATTCCAAAAAACTTCCTAACATTTAGCACTATCAAAAAGTACAACAGACTGCTGTGGGAGGTGGTAGGTTACTTCTCACTTGAAATCTTCAAGTAAAGGCAACATAAGCACTTTTCAGGTATACTGTAGAAAGAATTCTTTTTCAGGTTTGTGTTGAACTTGATGGCTACAAAGTACCTCCCAACCTGGAAATTCTGAGATTCTGGGATTTTGTATTCTTTACATGAAGTACTCAATCTTTTTTGCATCATGGATCCTTCTGGCAGTCTGGTGAAACTTATGTAACTCTCAACCATAATGTTCCTTTTTAAAAAAAAAATAATTGAAGGAAAAGCTAAATTTCAGTTAAAGGTGAATGAAAATAGATATGTAATTTTTTCCCCATCCAAGTTCATGAACCCTGTGAAATCTATCCAGACCCTCAATGGGAAGGTATAGAGTAGAGGTTCTTAACTTATGGTAATGGGGGGTTTGTTTTTCCAGTTAATTGTGAGACTATAAAAATATGGTCTACTGTGGAAAATTGCTTGTGAAAAATGTCTATTTGCTTCTCACATTTTCATTAAGAGTACACTCTAAATTTGAGATTATTACAACTTTCTTGTACTGGTTTGTAGTTAATGATGAATTGATGAAGACTGGTCATTATGAAAATGTTGACAAATCTGTGCTGTTTTCTGACATTTATTATTCTTCTGTCACTTTCATCTACAGATGGAATTGGGCTCACATGACTTCATTGGGTCTCACATCAAGCTTTCTACACGTTTGTTTTCACCTCTACTGCTTTTTTGCTCTTTTATAAGATAATGCTCATACTCTTTCTTCATTCTTATGTTGTACAAGTAAATTTGTACTTTAATCTGCTATTGCCTCCTAGCTGACATATCTCCCCCCTTGGCAAGGAGATCAAGTGTTGGTTGGTTATGGTGGCTTCTAGGTTCATTTGGTCCCCTCATTGTGATGACTATTCTACATAAATTAAAATTCTACAGAAAATAGTGATTATCTTTACAGTCTGACTTCCAACCTCATCAATAAATTGAAACTGCTCTCTCCAAAGTTAATAATGATCTTTTAATTGCCAAATCTAATGGCCTTTTCTTAATTCCCATACTTCTTGACCTTGACAATGATCCATCTTTGACAATGTCAATCACCCTCTTCTCCTTGATACTCTCTTCTATTTAGGTTTTCATGACACTGCTCTATCCTGGTTTTCCTCCCACCTGTCTGATCATTTCTTCTTAGTCTCTTCTGCTCAATCTTCATCTAGGTCATGTCCATTGTGGGTGTCCCAAAGGACTCTGCCCTGGGTCCTTTTCTCCCTCTACACTATTTCACTTGGTGATCTCATCAACTCCTGTAGATTTGATTACAAACTCTATGCAGATGACTCTCAAATTTACATGTCCAGATCTAAACTCTCTTCTGACTTACAGTTTCACATTTCCAGTGGCCTACTGGAAATCTTGAACTGGATGTTTTATAGACAGCTTAAATTGAACACATCTAATACTGAACTCATTATCTTCCCCCGCAAACCATCTCTTCTTTTTAAACTTCTCCATTATTGTCAAAGGTAACACCATCCTCCCAGCAATCCAGACTTGCTACCTAGCTGTCATCCTTAACTCCATACAGTCTCTCTCTCTACCCCACTACCACCAATCCAATCAGTTGCCAAGTCTCCTCATTTCTACCTTCAAAATATCTCTCATATATTCTTTTTTCTCTTCTCAAACACTGTCACTACCCTGGAGCAAGCCCTCATCAATTTATTCCTGGACTACTGTAAGAGTCTGTTTGTTATTGTTTCTGCCTCAAGTGTCTCCCTACTCTAATCCATCCTCCATTCAACTATCAAATTGATCCACCTAAAGAACAAGTCTGACCATATCACCTCCCCTCACATTCAATAATCTCTAGTGGTTTTCTACTACTTTCAGGATCAAATATGGTATCTTCTGTTTGGCTTTTAAAATACTTTATAACCTGGCATCTTCCTACTTTTCCAGTCTTCTTATACTTTATTATCCTCTACCTACCCTGTGATCTCATGTTACTGGACTCCTGGCTATTCTTTGTACAAGATACTGCGTTTCCCAATTCCAAGCATTTTTGCTGGCTATCCTTGGAACAGTCTTCCCCCTCATCTCCGCTTCTTTGCTTCCCTGGCTTTCTTAAGTCTCAACTAAAGTCTTACCTTCTGAAAGAAGCCCTTCTCAATCTTTTTTTAATCTTAGTGCCTTCCTTTAGAGACTACTCCCAATTTATCACACACACATATGTACTACCCCCAATTTATCACACATATCCTGGTACTCAGTACAGTGCCTTAGCAGATGCTTAATAAATGCTAATTGACTAATTATTTTTAATTAGTTAATGGCACATAGCAGATGCTTAATAAATGCTAATTGACTAATTATTTTTACTTTTTTTAATTTCCCATTTTTCAGCATAAGTGCCTTGTGTCAGGAGGTCAGGTTATACTGTATTTATTTGCAGTGTCTTCATTTTTTATCCTTTCTTCAAATCTGGCATTGATTTTTACTTTTGCTCTAATTACAATGTAATAATTATATATGTGGTCTTACACCATACATATAACTGATTCTGAAATAACTCAAAATAGATAGAAACCAATCTTTTTCTGTCACTTATAAGACATGGTAAATTTCATTGTTTTATTGATGCTACATAGTGCTCAACATATATAGCACCTGCTGACTCTCTTCTTGAAGACAAACTTTATGATATATAGAAATGAGACTTCTGAGAAGCCTATGAACTTTGGTCTCTTTCATTTTAAAAATCTGAATCATACTTTACAATATATTTTACTGTCTACCTTAACATTAAAGTAATCAAGTGTTACATGATATACTTCATGTATTTTACCTCAATCAACACTTAAATTCTAACAATATTTAGCCCAAACAAGAATGGCTGATGTATACAACCAAATGAAGCAAAATACATTTTGATGGAAAGATAGTGTAGTGGAAAATGGACTATCCTCTGGAGTATGAGGGCTCAGGTGCAAATCCTAGCTCTGCTATTAGTTACTTTTGTTAACTTAGGCAAGTCACTTAGATCTCTCTGTGCTTCAGTCTCCTCAACTATAAAACAAAAGAACTGAACTAGATAATCTCAGAAGTTTCTTCTCATTTGAGATCTATAATTCTATTACATTATTGTAATAAGTTTTGTTACATAATTAATTAACCCAAGTGGTAGAAAAAAATTATTATTTCTCATTCAAGAATTAATTTTGATTTTAAAAAACCATCCAAATAATAAAACATTAATTTTTGCCAAATTTTTAAATAAAAACATTAAATTATGTTTTGACCATGCTGTCTTCATTTACTGATAGGCTTTTACTATTAAAAAAAATTTTCAATGTAATTTTTTCCCAATAAATACCAGCCAGTTATTCAGAAATGTTTAAGTATATAATTCTCCTGCATACACCAAGAAGGTGACAGTTTATTACCATGCATAATTCTCAAGTATTTACAAGCAGCATAAATATATTTTAAAATAATTTTTCTTTTTCTGGTGCAACTGCATAAAATATGTGGAAGAAGTAAGATGTGCCATGTTTGTACTGTTTTATTGTTCTGCTAACTACTTAATTGACAAGACCTCCTATTTTTATAGCTAAGTCACTGCTGAAAGTAAGCAATAAAGATCTCAATTTCCCCTCCTAAATCTATGCAATAGCACTCTGCCACATTGCCACTAAACCATATAACTGACTTTACAAAAAACATACTTTTACTATGTATTTCCATCTAAATTGTTCCTAAGTACACAACTTATTTATTATTCAATAAATACCACACTTGTAAAATCATCTTGAAATGATAAACAAGGAACTAAACATAGAATTTCAAAGATAAACTTACCACCAGAGTTATTGACTGTCTGAAAATTATGAACAGCTTGATGTGAATAGTAATTATCATAGAATTCAGCTGGGTTTTGTAGAGACTCATAGTTGGCATTGAGCTGCATTTCACTGGGACCTTGCTGGTAAGATGGACCTGTAGAACAGTGATTTTCCATAGCGATGTTCATCATATGTCCCTGGACTCCCATAGAGTTATAGGAACCACTCATACCCTGTGGTGTTAAAGGTGGACCTGGTTGAATGGGTCCTCCAGCTTGATTATGAGGCCCTAAAAATCCAGGTGGACCAGGTTGCAATGGTGGGCTATGTGGCATTGGTGGGCCAGGAGGACCTGTACATGGGTGGTGGCCAGGGGAACCTGGGTGCATTGCAGGACCATTGTGTCCCTGAGACATGTTAGGACCAGGACCTGGACTTGACCCTGAATTGTACATATTCTGAGGATGTGGGCTGTTTCCCTGAAACTGTGGTCCTGGTGGTGAGGCACTGTTATAAAATGCTGGTGGCCTGTAAAAAGAAAAAATATTTTAACATTTCTTTTAACTTAAATCTTGAGGAAAAAAAAGTGTAAATACCTAAATGAATATTCATAAGCACTTTTTACCAAAGATAGAAACAACAGATATTACCTATAAAGCTTTTTTAAAGTATTAATATTGCTTAACATTTACATGATTTTTTGTGTTGCTTTTCTTATTTCCACTGCTCCCTCAATTCCTATTGACAACCTGTTGCTTCCTTGGAAATTCTTCCTGACCTGGCTCTGCCTTGATTACTGACTATGCTATAGAATAGACATGTAAAAATTCTAGACATTTTCAAAAGCCATTTTTCCTGGTTTGTACTGTAATACACTATCAGTGTATATCACAGTACATATCATAAGATGGAAATTACAGCACTTATTTTCTTAATATCTTCCCCAGTGGACAATGGGGTTTGAAACAAATTCTCATTACTAACAGCATCGATTTGGTCTCTGTTTGTAAAATGGAAAAGAACCCTCTTCTTTATTTATCCATATGTGATAAACATTCTCTGAAGAAAGGAACTATGATGTTTATTATAACTACATTTACCTAACACTGGAAAGTGTATAAATTGCCTTACATATATTTTTTTATTTGAGCCTCACAACAACTCCATGAAATATACTTAGAAGGTATTATTCTCATTTTTACAGAGGAGAAAACGGCCTTTGAGAGGTTAAGTGACCTATCTATGGTCACATGACTATCAATGTTGTAATTTAAGTCCCAGTTTTCCTAACTCCAAATCTAGTATTGTATCCACTATAATACACTGTTAACATTTTTTTTAGTCTTTCTCATTATTACTGTTCTCTCCCTACAAAAAAATCTAGCTGTGGTGATAGGCAGGTCATCTCCACTGATGTCCAGTGGAAACATACCATCATACAGTCAAACTTAATACACAGAGAATTATTCTAAAAATGTAACCACAATTAGTATAAAAGGACTAAAATTATTCTCTTAGTTTCATTGCTTTTTCACCAAAATTAAATGTCTCAAAATAAGTGCCAAAACTGAGGACATTTCAAGTTGGTTCTATATTTTCTTTAAGATACTTTGGGATATTTAACATTTGGAAATTCCTTTTAGTCAAACATTACTCATGCTAATTAAACACATTCAACCTTCAGTGATAATGTTTCGAAACTGGAAAAAATGTTAGAGATACCTTTTACAAAGTGTAGAATTGGTAATTCCCTTCAATTCAATTTAAAACTTATTAGTACCCACTGCAGAGCACTTTGATAAGTGCCACAAAGTTATAAAATTTAAATACCTCAAGATCCTTTGGGGAAGGCACTTTCATGTAGTAGAAAAAGCACTGGATTTGGCATTAGAGCTTAATTAAGTCTCAGCTTATCTAATGTGATTTTTGGCAAATAGTTTAACTTCTTTAACTTCAGCCTCAATTGTTTTATCAGTAAGGTGGGCACAGCAATACTGACGTTAGGAGGATTAAATGAAGTATGCATAAAATGTTCTGTAAGACTTAAAGCCACTTGTGAGAGATTGTTATTACCAATATAATGATAACTGGATATCATTCAATAACTTCTGGGGGTTTTCTGTTTCTTTTAGTCTGTAAGAATCACATATACTGAAAAGGAAAATACATATTAGAATCAGTCCTGTCCTAATACACTTGTTCGCTTTTTTAACTAATGTATCATTTTACCCACATTTTATTTTTTAAGCCTTTCACGGGTTATCTCCTGATAATGAATAGTTCTACAGTTATTCATTAGCTTATTATTTACTATCTATCATTTGGACCACTGGATAAATAAATAAGTGAGGAATTTCACTGGTTGTTCACATTACCAAACATCCAACCTATCACTCTGGCACTACTTGAATTCATTTGGATGGACTAGCAGTAAGTTCATATTAAAATTAAAGTATATGGGGCAAGCTTTACATAGTAGTTATAAATATCTTTGATATGTTGTTATAATAATTGCTATCCATTGGTTTAAGTAGTCACATGTTTTGGTCCAAAAGAACAGCAATGTTATGGTTCTTTGGGATCCACTGCTGCTTAATCTTCCCTCTATTTCTTCAGAAGCAGTCTGGAGAAGAGGAAGATGGGAGCATTTAGTAATTCCCGAATGCCATACAGCCAATTATTAGGGCATATAAGATCAAAGGTAGCTAAGAGTTGATTCCTTTATTCCCTTTTGAAAATGTTAAATTTATTAAAAAATTGCTCTAAAAGGAGAAAGAAATTATCTATGATCTTTTAAAAATATCACATAGACTAATGCAGAAAATCTGGGAAATACAATGGTTGACCCTCTCCCTAATCCTGATAATAGTTGAATAAAGGCTTCTTGCCACAAACAGAAATTTAAACACTAGCCTCAATGGCTATTTTGAGGCTACTTAAGCTTAAAAATATCTTGAAAATACTATGGAAGAAGACTGCCGGTTAGATGATAACAATAAAAATTATTCACAATTAGGCAACACTTTACAAAGCACTTCCCTGACAATTCTGTAAGAATCTGAGGACTTGGGTTCAGATCTTGGTCCTGCTACTTATTACCTGTGCATCCCTGGCAAAGTCATAACCTTTCTGGGTCCCAGAGATCTCATTTGTAAAATCAGGATGTCAGACTCAAATGATCTTTAAGGTCTCTTTCAGTTCTAAATCCTATGACATTAGCAGGTAGGTAGTAAAAATATCATAACTGCCATTTTATAAATGAGGCTCAGAGAGATTAGCTGACTGCCTTAAGTTCATACAACAAATAATTGGCAGGACTGAAATATGAATCTAAATCCTTTGTCTCCAAGTTCAGTGCTCTGAAGCAACAGTTAAAAAATTATAATTCTTAGAGGTCTCAGTATCGTTCTTTAGCAGCACAACTTCTAAGGGCAGCCACAAACACTTTACTGGTACCATACTGGAGAAGTGTAAATAATGGTTCCAGAAACAATTCAGATTTTGGGAAGTTACTACACTGTTAGATACTGCCTTGAAGTGGGGAAAGTTGGAGAAAAAGTATAAGATAGTATCATTAGTCACCCTTCATATTGCCAGATCTTGGAAAGGCACATTTGCAATCTCATGAAAAAGAGCTTTCACCTTCATGTTAAACTGTCTGGTATCTTCCAAGATAGCACTTCTCCATAAAAATCATGGGAGAAATAGTATAGGGAAGACTAGACGAAACAAAATCAAGGCTGAAATCAAAAGGACAAAATTATTCATTACAATGAAAAAAATAAAACTAGTAATTAACAACTTAACATCTGTTAAGTTTAGTGAACTATTAGGTATAGGATCATGTGGAAAGCACAGAAAATGGTTTCATTTTACATAAGATTCAGACTTTTGTTTGAAAGTACAGTATTTTGCTATGATAGGAATTCTGACTTACTTCTTCCCAATTTTGTGTGCTAAATCCACGGTAGGTTTTACGACTATTTCAAACAGAGATGGAATTTTCTTAAATTCATCAGAAAGATCTCCTTGAAAATTATCTTCCGATTCCGAAAATGAAAAATGCTCTGGTGGGGTTGGCAAAAGGCCAACTCCTGGAGGTGGTTTAGGAAGAGGAGCAATACCACGCCTTCTGAGTTCTTCTAACTCTCTTTCATCTTCATTTTGTGGTTCCTCTTCAGTATTCAGGACCTAAAAGAAAATTACATCATCATTTTTGTGCAACTGAATCTAATATGAAAACAAATTCCTGAAGCAGGCATCATCTGACCTCTGAACAATTCCTAATGTTGTATTATTCATACTAAATATATTATCACACATTTTCTTAAACAAAAACAAAAAACTTTTCTTAATTTCCTACTATTTCCCCTCAAGCTATCATCTCTTTCTTTTCTATCAAACTCCTGTAAAGAAGACTTTACATGCTGTCTCTACCACTGACTCAATCCTTTGCAATCTACTTTCAATCTCTACTACTCTAGTTAACTCTCTCAAGGTCACTAAATTCCCTACCATTTTTTTATCTGTTATCTTTTTTGAACTCAGCATCATATAACTCTATAGACCATGCCATCATCTTGATAACCTTCCCTTCTGTTGGCTTCTTTGATGCTGCAGTTTCATGGTTAATTTGCATTCTTAACCAATACTTTTTTGCCTCTTTTGCTGGATCCTCATCCTCCTCTCACTCCTTACAACAATGGGTCTTCCTTAAGGTACTTACTGTCTTTGGTCCTCTTTGCTCTCTATCATTATCTCTTGTGGATTTAATGATCACGGTCATGCAGATGACTTCCAAATCTGCATTTTCACTTTTCAAATTCTCCCCAGAGAGCCAAAACCATATTTTTATTCTATTCTTTTTTTGGGGGGGTGTGTGTGTGTGAGGCAACTGGAGTTAAGTGACTTGCCCAAGGTCACACAGCTAGTAAGTGTCAAGTGTCTGAGGCCATATTTGAACTCAGGTCCTCCTGACTCCAAGGCTGGAGCTTTATCCACTGAGCCCCCAGCTGCCCCTCGAAACCAAATTTTTAATTGCCTGCCATATACTTCTATCTCTCTGTCCTATTTACACTTAGAATAATATGTCTAAAACACAACTCATTATCTTTCTCCCTAAACGTGGTCCTCCCTCTAGTTCTTCTATTTCTGGCAATGAAGCTTTCATTTTCCCAATCTCATAATCTTAGAATTATCTTTGGCTCTTTCTTCTCCTCCATCCCACACACTGAAACAACTGCAAATCTTACCAAAACTACTTCTTCAATTTCTCTTGTAACTGGCCCTTCATTTCTACTCCCACAACAACCACCTTGTAGAGTGCTTATTTCTTTTTTATACTACTGCAATAGTCTCTTAACTATCTTCCTGCCTCCATTATATCATTTCTGAAATCCATCCTCCACATTGCTGTCTAATTTTAATGCATCTCTATACTCTATTAAAAACTTTCAGTGCCTCCCTACTGTCTAATTTATAATGTATAAACTCCTGATATTAGAATCTAATGCCCTCCACAATCTGGTTCAAAACTACCTATCCAGTCTTACCTCATATTGCCAACCTTTATATCTTTTACATGCCAACCAACCAGGATTACTCTGCCCTCCTCTATTCTTATTCTTCCCTCTCTCATCTCCATGGCTTTGTATTATACTCTCTACCATGATCTTTTAAAGTCCTCCCCTTCCTTCAAGATGGAGCTTAGATCCTACCTGCTCCTTGAAGATTTTGCTGACCTCCCTAACCTAACCTGTTCCCTCCTCAAATTTCTTATAGTATTTTGCATGGACTTTGCATTTACGCAGTTTACCATGGTATTACGTTTATACAAATAAATGTACTTGCTTTTTTATACCATTGGATTATAAGCAATTTGAGAGCAAGGCTTATGCCATATTTATCAATATATGCCCGGGACCTAGCACACTATCTTGTTTATAGTAGGGACTTAACACATATTGACAGAATTGATATGTCAAATATTTATTGAATAATTCCTGTCTATTTCAATTTGCTTTTAAATTCCAGAAGCATGACATTACTTAGACCTTTAGACATCTAATTACCTAAAAATATTAGGTCTTTTTCATTAACTGCCTAACAGATGCATAATCCAATGGAACATTGAGCCATGATGACGGTAATAACGCACACTTATATAAATTTCCCCTTAACCAATGAAACAGTAATGGATATTTTATTACTTTCATTTTGCAGATAAGAAATTAAGGTTCATTGTCACAAAACCAGTAATAATGATGGTAATTCTTGAAATCATGTATCCAGAATGAAAAATTAATTTTGAAAGCACCAGAGGGTTGATGACTATAATGACACATCATATCTCAAGATATACAATCTGTTCAAAATTATGAAATTCAGTGGAGAACTGGAAATTTCCAATAGTTTCTTCCTCTCTTAAAGAATTTTCCTGGGGAAGGGAAACAATTTTAATTTATAAAAATTTTCTTAGAACAATTTAGAGTTTTTGTCAAACTACAATGAAAGCATAATAAACTCATTCCAATTTGGTCCAAATTCAATTCAATTTAATTGAACAAATATTCATTAAATACCTACTCTGTGCAAGGCATTCCGGGAATATAATGACAAAAAAGAGAGTCCTTGATCTTATGGAACTTACATTCTACTGGGGGAATATGACATGTACATAAATAAATACAAAATTATTTAATAAATGAAATAACACAACTAGAGGATGAGAAAATATTTCATAGAGAAGAGAGACCTAAACTGTGCTTAATTAGCTTAATCATTAAAGGAATTTAATGTTTCTGAAGTCAGAGATAAGGACGGTGTACATTTCAGGCATGAGAACAACCTATGCAAAAGTACAAAGGGAGAAAAGAGAAGGTCAAGTTCAGAGAAATGGCAGTCTAGTTTGACTGGAATATACATGAAAGAGAGTGATATAAACTAAGAATATAAAGGGAGGTTGGAGTCAGATTATAGAGAGCCTTAAAAATCTAAGATGAGGAATTTGTTATTTTATCCTAAAGGCAGTCAGAAGTCACTGGAGATATTTTGAATAGGGGTTGATGACATGGTCAAACCTGTGCCTCAGAAAAATTATTTTGGCAATTCTGTGGATGATGAATTAGAGACTGAAGTCAGGAAGACCAATTAGAAGGCTTTAAAACAGGAACGACGTGATAGGGCATGATGTGATAAGGGCCTAAATAAGAATTATAGCCACGTGAATGAAGAGAAGGAGATATCTGTGCCAAATAATTAGAGTTGAATTACAATGAATTAACTGATGTGAGAGTTGTGGTAGTAAAATAAATAGGATATGATAACTGACTGAACATGGGGAGTTGAGGAAGAGGGAAGAATCTAGAATAACTCTGTCAGAATGAAACTAGATGACCAGGAGGTTTTGACCTTCAAAAGAAATAATTGGAAGGTGGCGTGGATTTATAGGGATGAAGATAAGTTCTGTTTTAGAAATGTTGAGTTTGAAATGTCAAAGGGAAATCCAAGAGAAAATGTCCTATGATAAAGGTTTGGAATTCATGAAAGAGACTGGAGTTGGACATAGAAATCTGAAAATCATTTGGGTAAAGATGATAACCTATGGGAGTAGGTGAAATCATTAAGCAAGACGGCACATGGAAGGAAAGGAATACAGGACAGTTTGGGGGGTTATATACACTTAGAGATGGATAATGATTGAAAAAAAAAGGAGAATGAAAAGGAATGGATGGTCAGAGAGGTAGGAAGGGATCAATGTTATGAAGCTAAGGGAGGAAAAAGGATTTTGGAAAAAGTGATGTTTAACTATCCAAAACTGGCAGAGGTTGGGGGTGTGAAAACCAGAAAAGCCCATTAGATCTTGCAGGGAGGAATTTCCATAAAGTAGTAGAATCAGAAACCAGATTGCAAAAGGCTGAGAAGTGAGTGGATGGTAAGAATGTGGAGGCAGTATGTATAGTCTTTTCCCATGAATATCCATTAATCAATCAATAGACATTTATTAAACACCTACTATGTGGCAGGTACTGTGCTAAGCACTGGGGACACAAAAAGAGACAAAAAATAGTCTCTGCCCTCAATCCAATGAGGGACCTCACAATCCAATGGAGGAGCAAACAAATATATGCAAGGCAAGCTATATAAAGGATAAATAGGAAATTATTAACAGAGAAAAGGCACTAGAATTAAAAGGGGGTTGGGAAAGTCCCTGTAGAAGACAGGATTTTAGCTGGGACTTAAAGGAGGCCAGGGAAGACAGTAGGCAGAGATAAGAAGGAAGGGCATTTCAGACATGGGACACAACCAGAGAAAATGCCCAGAGCTGAGAGATAGAGTTATCTTGTTGGTAGAATAGCCAGGAGGCCAGAGTCACGAGATCGAACAGTACCTGGCGAGGAGTAGGGTGTAAAATGCAGGAAAGGTAGGATGGGGCTAGGTTACAAAGGGCTTTGAATGCCAAGAAGAGGACTTTGTACTTGATTCTGGAGGCAATAAAGGAGCCACTGGAATTTACTGAGGAGAGAGATGACATGGTCAGACCTGTGTTTTTAGGAAAATCACTTTGGTGGCTGAATAGGAGAGTGAACTGGAGTGGTGAGAGACTTGGAGCAGGCAGACACCAGCAGGTATTGTAATAGTCTAGGCATAAGATGATGAGGCTCTGTACTGGAGTGGTGGCAAAGTCAGAAGAGAGAAAGGGGCATATTTGAGAGATGCTGCAAAGGTTAAATTGGCAGGCTTTGGAAATAGCTTGGGGGGCAGCTAGATGGCGCAGTGGATAGAGCACCAGCCCTGAAGTCAGGAGGACCTGAGTTCAAATCCGGCCTCAGACCAAACACTTGACATGTACTAGCTGTGTGACCCTGGGCAAGTCACTTAACCCCAACTGCCTAAAAAAAAAAAAAAAAAGAAATAGCTTGGATATGAGGGGTGACAGATAGTGATAGAATAGTGATAGAGAGAGAGATACTGTAGGCCTAAGGGCCTACAGTAATAGAGAAGGTAGGAGGAGGAAGGATTTAGGGAGAAAGATAATGAGTTCGGTTTTGGACATGTTCAGCTTAACATGTTTACTGAACATCCAGTTTGAGATGTCTGAGAAACAGTTGGAGATATGAGATTGGAAGTCAGCCGAGAGGTTGGGGCAGAATAGGTAGATTTGAGAATCATCAACTTAGACAGGGTAATTAAAGACATGGAAGCTGATGAGATCATCAAGTGAAGTGGTATAGAGGGACAAAAGAAGAGGGCCCAGGACTGAGCCTTGTGGAACACCTATGGTTAGAGGGTGTGAGCTAAATGAGGATTCAGCAAAAGAGACTGAGAGGGAGGGATCAGATAGGTAAAAAAAGAACCAGGCAAAAGTGGTGCCGTGAAAACCTAAGGTGAAAAGAATATCAAGGAGGAGAGAGTGATTGAGTGTCAAAGGCTGCAGAGAGGCTGAGAAAGAGAATTGAGAAAAGGCTGTGGATTTGACAACTAAGAAATCACTGAGAGAACATAAAAGAATATGGCAGTGAAAGGGAAAAGAATTTAAGATAATAGCCTTGAGGGGATGGTAGGGTAAAATGAAAGTTTTTTTTAAAGATAAGAGATACTGTGGCATGTTTCAGGAAACAAGGAAGGAGTTAGTAGATAAGAAGATACTGAAGATGAAAAAGGAGGAAATGATCTATGGCTAAGCTCCCAAAGATTATGAGAAGGGATAGGATTAAAGGCACAAGCTATAGAAGATGATCCTGGCAAGGAGGAGGGCTGCTTCTTTCTCAGAACTGAAGAAAAGGACAGGTGAAGCTATAGAAAGGTTTGAGGAAGCCCCACAAACAGGAGGCAGTCTGCTGGGGATGAGGGGAGTGGGATTAGTGGGAATATTTTAAGAAGGTCAGAATGGATACTGCTGGGTTTATAATAGAGAGTGAATCAAGGAAGAACAAAAAGATATTCTGCAGGAATAAGGATCAACTTATTAGTAGATAATGTGAACTGGATAAGCAAAAAGTATAGATAGGTGAATTCATTTTAATGAGATAAATGAAATACACCAATTACAATCTTAGCCAAAATTTTTTTCCCCATAATTAAAACTATCCTTTTGTGTTGCCAACATTTGTTAATTTCTCTGTACAGAATGTAGCAGCTTCTTAACAAGTGTTTGTTTGACCAATAAATCATTTTCTTCATAAAAAAAATGTAACTTAAAAAGTAAGAATTTCAATCAAATCAATCTATGGGAACATACCAGGAATTACAGTGTGTATATACTACTTACTTTGTCCAGAAGTTCTTTTGTTTCTTTAGTGAGAGGAGCGTGGGAAAATTTACACTTATCTCCTTGGTAACATTTTGCTCCCGTGTGATAAAATTTGCAAGGAAATTCATGTAAAAATAGTATTAAGGAAGAGATCAAGTTAAAGTATTTTAAGACTATTTCACTGACTGAAGAAAACTTCTTACTCCTATGCACTGATTTTTCAGAAATTATAATGCCACATATCTATCTGGGTACTGTTTTGAAATATTTATGTATTTTTTTTCTTATTTGATTCTCACAACAACCAGATTGGTAGGGAAGGAAGTATTATTTCATTGTTTAATATAGAAGGAGTCTGAGAATGAGAAGTTAACTGATTTGGCCAAGGTCACATAGATAATTAAGTAGTAAAAACAGAATCTGAACTTATATCTTAAACCTTCCTCAGTTCAAGTATTTTTAGAAAAGACAACTAAATATACATTTTTATCTAGATGAAATATTTAAAGTAAATTTTAGATATTTATATACTTCTAAAATAAAGTGTTAGAAACCACATTTTTGTGAGCTTTTGTTGGCTATACCATGATTTATAACTATCTACTTATATATAAAAATGCAATATTTATGAATATAGTATTTCATGAAGTAACTTTCCCAATAACTGAGTAATTAAAAAAACTTACAAAATATGATTCTAGTAGTTTTTTCCTAATATCCATTTTATTTTGGTATGACTAGAAAAATACCTTTTTAAATTTAACACAGGTTAGAAGCAAAAGTGCTATTTTCTGTAATAACATAAAGCTTTCTTAAAGTGGAAAGTAAGCTTTCAATAAATCCCTATAATTTATGGAAAAACTAAAGGGGTTCAATATGTTATATTTAAAATTATACAACAAAAATTAGGCCAACTTTTCCTGGTATAAACACAAAGCTTCCACCAAAACATTACCTTGACCATGCTAAATAGAAAGGATTCATTGGATCAGATTCAGAGTTGAAGTTTTAATTAGATTTTTCTCTGAAAGAACTCCTTTTCTCTAATCAATGATAATTATGAAATTCAAAATACTCAATTAAACAGAAAGGCTAACTAAATTGGGTTTATATAGTATAACCTTCCCAAACTAGAATCAAACCATTGTTAGCTATTTTTTTAAAAAGACTGTTGCTCTCTATGGCCCTCCCTTCCCCCACCCTGACTCCATCCTTAATCTTTTAGTTTTCTCTTTTCAGCAAAGGATATTATGCATATAAATGCAATTCTCTCCTTTGGTGCAATATCCCTGTATATAAAACTTGCAGATTTCCTTCTTTTTCTCCAATTCTGCATCATGATCAAATTTACATTGGTCTCCCTGCAGGCAAGAGAAAGAAAAATAATTTTGAAAACTGAGTACCTTAATTATGACATTACAGTAAAATCTCAATAACATTCCAATAACCAGAGTTACTAATAGTGCAAAAAGTTGATTAAAACCTCAAAAAGAATAGGTGGCAGCCAATTCATAAAGCTAAATTTCATAAACTGCCTTACTGCTAATTTTTACAAACTATACATATGAACATCAGCACACAGCATTTTCATATAAGGTTTAGCATTGTGAAAGGTCAGTTAGTTTTATTGCAACAATAAAATAGTAGCTACTAAAAACTCCTTAATAGAGAACATTTCTTAAAATAAATTGAAAGAGTATAGACTGGCAAAAAATGATACTTTAAAAATTTAATAATTATGTAGAAATTTAAACAAATGTAAGTACTTTTAAATTAAATATTTACCTTAATACATCTTCCCTCAAGAAAATATTTACAAATTTGTTTTCCTTTATGTTCCACTGTATGCTGGTTTATGAACTCTTGACTCATATTCACCCATTTTTTCACAGGTTTACCATCCTATAATAAAAAAATTCCATTTGAAACTACAAATGATATGTTGACAGTTATTAAAATTTTATTTTAAAAAATATTTATATCTACATGGTCCAAGAAAGTAGCAAAAGTTCAATATTTAGAATAGTTCTTTACTTTGTATGAATTGTGAAACCAAAATCATCAGCATAAGAAATTATGACTGTACACTTACTGAATGAGAGAGAAAGAAGTCTCTTGTAATTTACTTATTTTTAATAAAGTTAATATAAAGAACTTTACTTTCATAATTTGATGGGTTGGTGATTTTATCAGTATTGGTACTTTCTCCACCAACGCATTATGAAACTACTCCATATCTTCTCATTCTATTTGATTTTTGTTCATGTTTTTCTTGGAATCCTCCATAAAGGATCTATTCAACCACTGTAATTCCTTTTTCTTACTCTTTTACTCTTTTCAGAAAAATACTGAACGGTGCACTTTGTACTTCACACAATACCTGACACTTAGTAAATCCTTAATAAATGCTTATTGACTGACTTGACCTACTAGAACTACTAGAACTACTAGAGGCAGGTAGGTGACACAGTGGATAGAAAGCTGGACATGGAGTCATGTAAACTTGAGTTCAAATACTTATTTGATACTTATTATCAGCCTCAGATACTTATTAGCTGTGAGACTGATCAAGTGATTTAACCTGTCTGCTTCAGTTTTCTCATCTATAAAATAAGCAAAATGATAGCTCCTACCTTCCATTAACCTCTAATTTAGTTTCCACATCAGTAAAATGAGGATAGAATAGCACCTGCCTCAAAGGGTTGTAGTGAGAATCAAATGAAAGAAAATTTGTAAAGCACTCTGCAAACCTTAAAGCGCTATATAAATGCTATTATTATTTCTTGAGCACATCATCATTAATATACTTCAAAGCCAAGTAATACTCATTATCTATATTTCTATAGTTATTTGAGTTGTAGAAATTTTAGTTCTGAGATCCTGTTGCTTCATGCCCTACAGTAATATAGCACTGTTCAGAGAATACTGTTGTTAACGAGATGGACTTATAGGCACTGAGCAACTTGAGACAGAAAGGATTAAACCATTTCCAAATTGAATCCAGTTCAATTTACCACTTTTATTCCTTTTCTCAGCTCATTATGCAATCATAGCACATATCGTATCTATACAACTATGCATACATACACACATATGCATATTTGATAAAGTGTTTATATACTTCTTCAATATGGAAGGCTAGGCTAACTACATTATGGTGGATTTCACTGGGAAGGGCTTTGCAGCATTTCAGGGATTAATGCAATTAGCAGGATGCTATCTGTGAACAGGAGCAAAAATTTTTGTAAGAGAAACCATATGATATAGTATGTCAGAATTGAAGATGGAAGATATGACCACAGCTCTGACACTTATTAGTTGTTTATGTTATCATGAGCAAGTTACCTCACATCACTGAAACTCAGTTTCCTCATCTATAAAAGTTATAATACCTAAATATTTTTCACAATTGTTGTAAGGAAAGTACTATTTAAGTCTTAATGTTTTAATAACTGAGCTATTAATGAGATGAATCCATATAGTACATCATCCATGACATGGGGAAAACACACACACACATACATATATATAGATGTCCATATTTAATATATTTTGCATGTCTGGCACATAATAGGCACTTATTAAATGTTTACTGATTGATATAAAATGTTTAAATGATCCCTGAACAAAGTTATTTCCCAAGTTATGTCTACCATGAAGTCTTACATAGTTCAGATGTATACGCAAGAAGCACCTTGCTGAGGAAAGTCCTTGTTGTATTCTTGTCAAATGTTATCTTCAACCCCCAAAACACAATGGCATATCTATTTTCTACACCTCTCAGTCAGTTGACTTTCTGCTATAAAATATTGCCTTTCAAACCTGTCCATTTCCTTTTTATGTTTTCATCAAGGATACTCAATGCCTGCAAAGACCACTCTCGTCTTATAGAGATGAGAAAGCAGGTATGTAGCTCATTAGTTACTGATGTCTTCTAAGTTGACATTTTTAAAGTTTATAATCTTTTCCCTTTTGGAATCTTCTCTTCTTTGAGTCATCTTGAGAATTGATCCATGAGTGTCTTTAAAATTTTGTTGCCTCCAGAATGAATATTTTCTTGGTCATTGTGCTTAGTCTGGTCCATCTTCTCTTCCCAACTTCATCTTTTCAAATGCCATTGCTATTTCCTCAAATGGTACATACATGAGATAATGAAGTGGTAGAATTCAAATACGGTAGTTTCACTGTTGTTGGTGAGACTAGATTACTACAAACATGGTGGCAGATATCTTCAATTACCTGTCTATTTGTTGTCTTCCTGATTTCATCTACAAATGATCTCAGGATAATTTAGCTTAGCTGGATTTCATATCAAGTTCTCTTTGGGCTCTTTTTCTCAACAACTTTTTGCATGTGTCTGTTTTTTTGTTTTTTTTTTTACAAGCAGTACTGTTTATAATCTTCTATTCATCCCTGTAGAGTTGTGAAAATCAGACTATTTAATCATTCAATAAACATTTATCGAGTATCTATTACATGCTAGGCACTTTGCTAAGTACTGGGGATATAAAGACAAAATGAAAGAGTCCTTGCTCTCAAGGAGCTTACATTCTACCGAGGAGACATGTATATGCAAATATGTAAAACACATACAAACAGATATAAAGTAATCTTAGAGAGGAAACACTAGTGATTGGGAGGATAAAGAAAGGTATCCTGCAGAATAGGGCTAGGTGAGCAGAATGTTGAGGGAAAACTAGGGATTCTAACAGGTAGAGGTGAGGAGGGAGAATATATATTTCAGGCATAAAGGACAGTCAGGGAAAAGGCACAGAGACAGGGGATGAAGTACTATCAGTGAGGTCAGGTAACAGGCTAGCATAGCTGGCTGTAGAAAGCATGGAGGGGAATAATGTAAAAGAATGCTGGGATCAGCTTGTGAAAAGCATTAAATGGCAAATGAGAGTTTATATTTGATCCTAGACATAACACAGCCAGAACTCATCATGAGGAAACTCATCACCCTGTAAGACTGCATCAATTTTTGTACTCAGACCTCATCAGTACCTTCTGATTAGAAGGTTGGATGGCAGAGCAAGGAAATCCTTCCAAAGCCTTCATTTAAGGAAGGTTCCCAGGCTAGCCAACTCTTCATTTCCTACCATCTATGCTCTTTTGAACCAGACTCCATCATGATCATGCCCTGCCAGAAACCTCACCTGCAGGAAACATGATCTTGCAAGGACTGCTCACACCTCATCAGTACCGTCTGCCCATTTGATTAGCCTAGAAGGCTGGAGGGCAAAGCAAAGAACTCCTCCCAAAACCTCCATTTCAAGAGATCTCCCAGGCCAGTCATCTATTCATTTCCCACCAGCTTTCATTTCTTGGACAGGACCCCACCAGGCCATCCCATGCTGGGTACCTTCTTCCTCCCTATACTCCTAAAGGGAATCCCCTTTTTAGTTTCCTTTTGTGTGTTTTCTTTTCTTATTAGATTGTGTGCTCCTTGAGGAGAGACTGTCTTTTTTTTTTTTAATAACTTCAGCATTTATCATAGTGCTTGGTACACAGTCGCTGCTTAATACATGTTTAATGACTGAGTGACATGTTTTAGGAAAATTTTACCAACTGTGTGGAGGATGGGTTGGAGTGAGACTTGAGATACAGAGATGGAAGAGAAGGCTATTGTAATAATACAGGCAAGAGGTAATAAGGGCCTGAACCAGGGTAATGACTATGCAGGTGTAGAGAAGGGGACAAATGTGGGGGAGATGTTGTGGAGATAGAAAAGATCCATATTAAGAGCTTAATAAATATTTTTGAGTGATTGAAGATTTGGCAATTGACTGAATAAGGGGAGAGTAGGGAGTTAGAGTAAGGAGTTGAGAATGACCCCAAAGTTACTAGCTTGGGTGACTAGATGGTAGTGTCTATGACAGTAACAAGGAAGTTAGGAAGAGACATGGGTTCAGGAACAGGGGAGTAATCAGTTTTGGATATGTTGAATTTGATATGCCTTCAGGACACTGAGTTAAAAATATTCAATACACAGTTAGCAATGTAGAACTAGAGTTTAGGAGAAGGAAGCACTGGGTATAAAGATCAAGGCATCATCTTCATAGAAATGATAACTAAACCTATGTGAGCTGATGATACCACCCAGTAAGAGTGTAGAGAGAAGAAAAGAGGGCCAAGGAAAGAGCCAAGGACAGAGGGGACACTAGAGGTGTTTATATGGATGATGATACAATAGAAGAGCTTAAGAAGTTATCAGACAGATAAGGAGAGAACCAAGAGAGATCAGTGTCATGAAGACCATGAGAGGAGACAGCATCCAAGATTAAAGGGTAGTGAACAGCGTTAAATGCTGCAGAAAGAACAAGTAAGATTAAGATTGTGAAGAGGCCATTAGATGTGTCAATTAAAAGACTGTTGGTGACCATCTGAGTTGGGGGATGAAGTATATGCCCTTTATTACCATATCTCTCTACTGAGCAAAAAGATAAAGTGTTTTTGTGGGCTGAGGTACTTTTTAGCTTTTTTTGGCTCTCTCCTCGTAGCAACTGTTACATGCTTCACATCATGTGAACTTCTTCAGAAAATGCTAAGTAGAAACAATGTCTTTACGTTTTTTCCCCTTTCCATTTTTCAGTCTGTTACTTACATAAAGAGGTTGAATTGGAGCTGCTGTTACACATAGTACCTTCCCATGTTTAAATTTTCTTCTAATTTGGCTTTTTAGAGTTGGCTCTAACTAGAAGATAGTTTGAGTGAAGATATTCTGAAATGATGGTTACATTTACAACCAGTTGCTTCTTATCTCAAGATCTGGTTAATTTCTTTTGTTATTCTGTCACTTGGTAGTCCATATATCCAGTGCCCAGTTAAAGTACTGATGATTAGAAGTGTAAAGCTTTTTGATAGGCTACAATCCTTTGACCTCTAATACTCTTCGATCCAGAATGCTATTTTCCAACAAAGCTTCTGTTGTAATTCCATGTGTACATTTATGCCTTGAAATTACCTAGTATTAATAAAAGTGACTTGGTTTGGAGGAGCTTGTCAAATTTCACATATAATTTTTTACTTGATCTTCTACAATGGACATTGGTACATAACACTGTAATTACCTTAAATTACCTTAAGAGGTGTTTGTTTATACTCTCATAAGAAGTGATCAATGGGATAAGCAAGTATTCCAAAAAATCATGTTTTTTATTACTTTGAGCACATTATTAACCAACTCTTCCAACTTCTTTATTTGCCTTTACAAGGGTAGTCATTTCCATTTACTTGGTTTTTGTTATGTCTTCTGGTTCAATTTATAACAAGAATGTAAACATGAATAAATTTGTTGTTACAGTTGATAGTAAGGGCTCAATAATTATTTGCTTTTTGATCAAATTTTGCTTTAGCTTTAAAGTTGTATTTAGTTCCTTGATTTACTAAGAGATGGACACTATGACAAAGGCACACATTTACTGCCAAAACAACAACAAAAAACCAATAGTAGTAACCTTCTAAATTTTATACTAATGGTTTTTAGAACAAATCTAATGCGATCACTCACTCCCTCTATCTAAAAAAATTTTTTTTCACTTAGGAACCTCAAAAGAATCCAGATTAGTCTCTCTGGCTCTGGGTACAAAGAAAATGAAATTTTCTAATTAATGTCTATGGTATGAAGCTACTTATATATTTAGACCAAAATATAGGTCTTAGTTCTATACTCCTGCAGTGATTTATAGGATTGAAGATTTAGAGCTGGAAAAGAACTTAGTGGTCATTTAGTTTAAACTCTTCATTTTACAAAAGAGGAAACTGAGACCCAGAGAGTTTAACTAACATGGCCATGGACGTGGAGGAAGTAAATGGCAGAACAAATTCGAATGCAAGTCTTTTAACTCCAAATCCAGCACTCTTTAAATTGTTCCAGTGACTAAAAGATTCTGTCAGAAGTAGAATTTTAACCCATGCCTTCACATAACCAGAACAGTTATTTTAGGAATGGAAACCTTGAGTCTTATACCTTAGAATACTTGGCCATTCTTTTCACTGTTCAAAAGAAAAATGTAAAAATATGTTATAAAAAGAAAAAGACTGTAGAAAAAAATAGTGGATATAGTGAAGTAAATAAAGTGAATAAAATGGTGAATATCGTGGATAAAATTCTAACATACAGAATTTATAAGGAGCTGAAACAAATACACCAAAGTAATATACATTTCCTAATGGGTAACTGGAAAATAATATGAAAAGTTTTGAGATAAATGCAGAATGTTAAAAATTATTCTGAAATATTACCTAATCTGAGAAATGCCAAATAAAAAACTTTAAACTATTATCTTACTGCTATACCATTGGTTTGAAAATAGTTTAAAATAATAACATTAAATGTTGGCAGCACTATTAAATGTTGGCTGGGCTATTTTAATGGAAAAAAAAGTGATTTAAGGGACCATATAACTAAGAGGTGGCTGGAAAGACTTGTTTCTACACTTTCAGACTTTAAGCTTATATTATGATGCTAACAGGATCCATACTTTCTCAAATTTCCATCCCAAAAGTTCTGCTGTTACATAGGCCTTAGTATGTCTTTCCCAATCATCTTATTTGAGAAGAGAAGAAAAACCAAGGTAAAATGGTTTTATAGTTTTGATTTCAAATATTAGGAGTAAAGACTTGACTTGTGGCTTCACTGATATAGGGAACTCCTTTGTGAGGAATTTTCCTATACCAATGCAAGTCCTCTGCGATTTATATTCTTTACAAAGCTGCCTAGAGCACTGAAAGATTAAATGATTTGCCAGGATCCCACAGCCAGTATGTGTCAGGGGTAGGACCTAAACCCAGGTATTTTTGTTTTCAAGGTCAGGCCTCCATCTACCATGCCATATTGTCTCTCAGTTCTACTTATTTTGAAGTGATATGTTACCTTCAATTTAGAAGTCTCAATATTTTATCTGATGAAAACAAAACTAAAATAAAATATAATTTCCTTTTTATTTTATTCATGGTCTTTTATGTTGCTGTGTGGCTTAAAATGTTAATACATCTCTGTATTAAGAAGAATTTTTAGAAAGAACTCAGCATCTCCTCTTTTTTACATGTGTATTTTTATTACCTCTTGAAAGCCATCTGTTCCAGAAAAAGCATTAGGTCCTTTACTGCCTCTCCCTCTGCCACGCTCTTTGCGCTTGAGTTTCTTCGGCATACCACGTCCACGACAAACACTAAAACTTTTACTCCTCTGCTCAACTAAAAAAAAAAGGTATATTTCAAGTGCAATAGAAAAACAGTACACGTTTGTAGCAGAATCTTCAAAATAATCTGTGATTTATAATGCATTCTCCACTTTTTTATATTGCTGCACATACAAAAACAATACAAGAGTGTTTTGCTTCAAGAAAAGCTGATGAACAAAACACATTTACAGAACAGTTACATTAGAGGGTGGTAATTAATGATACAAAATAATTTTCTTTACATAAGATTAACTACACTATTCTCCTGAAACCTTAAGTTCTGTAGTTCACTAAAATAGTATTTACAAGAATCAGATTAACACAGAACTTTTTAGGAACATATTATTGTTACATGAAAAAAGTGGATAGTGAAAAATTTTAAGTAGCAAATCAGTTCTTCCTCATTTTTTCTAATTAAAAAAAGCTATTTATAGAAATTAATCTTTAAATTCATTTGATATTGTTAAACAGCAGCAGATCTTTCAAGGAAGAGCTAAGAGAGAATAGAGCAAAACAAAGGAAGAGGAATAATTCTGTAAGATTGAGGCAAGGGAAGTTTGACTTATCAGTTAAGGCTAGCTCTTACTTACAGATGGCTCTCTAAGACTGTAAGCTTCAGAATAGTTGTAAATCTACATAAGTATGGAGAGTTTCCTTACCATGAGTTTCTTATACCAATGAAATTAAGATTCAGACCACAAAACTCTTTCTACTATCATTCAAGGGTTAATGGTCCAAAATCTCATATTAGATACTCACTTTGTGTTCAATAAATGAACAAGAATATATTCACATAAAAAGAAAGATAATTCTCTTATTCAGAAATGATGTGCATAGATTAATTTATTAATATATAGTAAGGAAAAAGGTAGGCTAGTAGCATTAAGTTTAATTATCTATATTAAAAAAACTATATTAGGCCATTTCCTAATTGGAAAAAAACTCAAAACTACTGTCTCATTATATCTTTGTCCTCGTAGTCCATATTTGGATTAGGTCCTAAGACCTGCCTCCTTAATTCTATTATAGAAAAGTATTTCTGACAGATTTTGTTTCGATTTTATACTTACCTGGCTGAACTCCTTTCATCCCCTGTTTTTTCCCTGATTCCTTATGAAATGGTGATCCTAAAGCAGGGTTTGAGGTTTCTTTAGCTTGTCTGTACTGTTTAAGCTGATCAGCAAAATCTTCTTCTGTTTCCTGATTGTAGTTATCGAAGTTGTCATCGCTATAGTTACTATATTCGTCATAATCTTTATTTTTTGATTTTTTATTGTGCTGACTTTTCTGTGAGATCATGTAGTTTCCTGATAAATGTCCATGCTATATGAAAAGGACAATAAAAATTTTCAGCTTTAATTTTCAATTAAATATAGCACAGCCTAATAATTTGTTTCCCCTTTCCAATGAGGATGGGGGGTGGTGATAAGTACTAACTAGTCCTGTTTATTTTTGCTTATCAATTATACTACCCAAAAGTAATTTCAAATTACTAAACTGTATTCCTTATGAAGTCATTATGGAAGCGAATACACACACTAATCAAATTAATCATCAACAATTAAGCATCTACTATGTGCCAGTACTGTGCTAGATACTGGGAATAGAAATAGAATAAATGAAATAATCCTTATTCAGACTTTAGAGATCATCGAGTACCAACTCTCACTTTACCAAATAATATCCCACAGGTTAAAAAAAAACCCTAGTCTCTGACCATTAAAATATATGATTGCTCATACTGTAGCATCTATTTTTCATCTTTGATCATTTGCACAGTATAAACAGGGATACTTAAAATTGACAGGACCATATTCCTTCTTTGAGATAAGACAATGAGCATTTTCAAAATGAGAAAAGAATAGAGTAGTACAAGAACAAAATATGTGAAAAGTCTCTTATTTATAGAAATTCACAAATGTTATGTTCAAAGAGATTATATTCTACAAATGGATTAACTATTTTATTTACAAAAATAAAATATATGTATTTGAGCCTACTAGAAGAAGTTAATCTTTTGCAACCAGTAAATTATAACTTTCTAGGAATGAACAGCCCTTTCTGGTGGTCCACTGAACACCAGACTATTATAAGATTATTTAAAATATCTGAAGATTATTTAAAATATTTTTAAGATTATTTAAAATTTTTTTAAGATTTAAGGTTATTTAAAATATTCAATGCTAATTTTATTGTTTCTGAACTAAGTGTTAGTCTATTAGCTCGGGAAAAGTTGATATGTTAGGCTTCAAAGTTTAACACTAATAGGATCAAGTCTCAATGACTAAAGTCAGTGAAATATGTAATAATAATAGCTGACATTTACATGGTGCTTAGTATGTGACAGGCACTGTGCTAAGTGTGTTACAAACATTCTCTCATTTGATCTTCACAACAATCCTGGGAAGTAGGTGCTATTATTATCCCCATTTTATACCTGAGGAAACTGAGGCAAACAGAGGTTAAGTGACTTGCCCTGGGTTATATAGCTAGGAAGTGTCACAACCTGGATTTGAATTCAAGTCTTGCTGGCTCCAGGTCCACTGTGCCACCTAGCAGGCCCCAATCTCATTTTTCATAAAGATAAAAAACAATTTCAAATAAATATTGCTTGAAGGAACTGTCAGTGGCTCATTTTAAAATTAATCAATCAATCAAGCAAGCAATAGGCACTTATTAAGCACTTACTATGTACCAGACACTGTTAAGAATTATAGAATCACAAAATTTTAGAAAAGAAAGGAATATTAGAGATGTGGGACTATCTCTACATTTTATTTTGGTAAAATACTGCCTTAGAGTATGCTAAAAAACATGAATGACACTAAATTTAACAAAATTCATTAAAAAAACTAAAATTTATTTTAAAAAATTACAACCATGATTGAAGACAATGTTTCACATTTCTGATAAAGCTGTATCAATAAAGTATTGTTATGAGCACATATACACCAAATCAAATGTATATGGCTTTGCTTTAAAATAGTATTTACAGGGATAGTTTTTCTGCATAGCATATAAAGAGTAGAAATCTTTTCATGTATGTTAAAAAAGGAGGAAAAAAAATCAAGAACAGACATGTCAAACTAATTTCATTTCCTATTCTGCTTGTGTTATGAGGCTAACAGGCCAAGGGAATGCTATAGATTGTTTACGTAGAGTTTAGCAAACAATCCAACAAAGTCCCTAAAGCTATTCTTACAGAAAATTGAAAAACTGTAGGGTCAACAACTGTTTAGTTAGGAAGACACAAAACTTGTTGAATGGCTGAACCTAAGGAGTAGATATTAAAGGTTTGGTATCAATTTCAAAAGAAGTCGCTAGTGGATAGCTTCAGGGCTCTATGATAATCAACAATTTTTTCAATCACTGGAATAAAGATAGACAGTGCATATCCAATACGCAGATAGCCAAAAGACTACAGATGAGAATGTTGGGAAAAATCTAATAAGCTGAAATTTAATAGTAATAAATATAAAGTACACTTACATTTAAAAAATCAACCTCCCATGTACATTGACAAGGTAGAAGACACGTGGCTAGAGAACAGTTTTTCTGAAAAAGACCTGAATGTTTTGGTGGGCTGCATGCTCAATATGAGTCAACAGTACAATATGACAGCCAAAAATTTTCCTATCATTTTAGGTACGTTGAGAGGGAAAGTGACTCGGTTTAAAGAAATTATTTCCAGCTATATTGTGTTCAGTTCTGGGCACTGTATTTAGGGAAAAGACTGATAACTGAGAGACTGATAAGTCACAAAGTATTCAGAAGAGAGCAATGAAGATTGGGGAAGGCGTAATGATCATACCAAATGACAATCACGTGAAAGAAATGAGTACATTTCTCTTATAGAAGAGACAACTTGGAAAATGGAGGGAATATAACAACTGTTCAAGTATTTGAAGAACTATTACGTGGAAAATGGATTAAATCTATTTTGCTTGGCCCAAATGACAGAGAGCAATGAATGGAAGTCGCAAAGAAACAGATTTAGGTTTGATGTAAAGAGAAATTTCCTTAGAATTAGAGTTATTAAAAAATTAAAATGGACTGCCTCAGGAAGGAGTAGTGTATGTTGGAGGAATGTCACTGGAAGTCTTTAATCGAAGGTTGAAGATCTTTTGATCAATTTGTCGGTTACATTGTTGAGTAGATTCCTGTTCAGACAAAAGTTGAACCATATGCTCTCAGAGGTCCTTTCCAACTCTAAGATTCAGTGATACTTTAAGAAATGGGGTCATGGCTCAGAGAAAATCAATACTAGGTTTACATTCCAAAGAGACTAGAAAAAGGACTCTTCATGATCGCATTTGGGGTTTTCCTGGCTAAGAAATTAGAGTAGTTAGCCACATTTCCTTCTCCAGGTCATTTTAGAGATGAGGAAACTGAGGCAAGCAGAGTTGAGTGACTTGCCCAGAGTCACACAGCTAGAGAGTGTCTGAGGTCAGATGTGAACTTAGGAAGATGAGCCTTGTTAACTAAAGGCCCAGCGCTCTATCCATTGTGCCACCTAGCTGCCCCAACTCATATGTACAAAAATATTTACAACAACTCTTTTTGTGGGGGAGGGAGGGAAGGCATGGCAAAGAACTAGAAACTAAGGGAATGCTCATCAAGTGAGGACTGGTCGAACAAATCACGGTATGTCAGTATGATGGAATACTATTGTGTTCTAAGATATAAAGAAGGGGAAGGTTTCAGAGAAACCTAGGAAGCCTTGTATGAACTGACTGATGCTGAGTAAAGTGAGCAGAATAGGAGAATAATATATAAAATAACATTATAAAGAAAAACACTGAAAAACTTTAGAATTCTAATCATCACAAATGACCAAGGTTGAGTCTAAAGGACTCGTGATGAAACATGCTACCCATCTCCTGACAGAGAAGTGATAGACTGAGGATACAGATTGAGAAATATTTTCCCAATATGGGAATTTATTTTGCTTGATTATACATATTTGTTACAAGGTTTTTGTTTTTTCTTCCCTTTTTAATGCAGAGATAAAGGTGAGAGGGAAAGGGGGCAGATTTTTAACTGAATAAAAATACAATTAATATTTTTTTTAAAAGGAAAGCTAGGGCCCAGAGAACTGAAGAGATTTACCATATATATGTTACACATATATAGTAAGGTATTAGAGATGATCTGGGTTCAAATCTAACCTCTGATACTTACTAGTTGTATGAACCCTAGGCAAGTCACTAAACTGCTCTTGGCCTCAGTTTACTAAATATTCCTGTAAAATGGTGATAATAGTGGGTTAACTCACAGGGGTTGTTGTGAGGATCAAACAAGATAATCTATGCAGAAAAAAAAAAGAAATTGAGTCATGAATTTATGTGGTTTCACCTCTAATGAAAATGCTTGATAGGGATCAACAATAACCTACTACTTGGGTCTATTTGAAGATCTATATGTTAAAAATATCTAAATTTCCATGAGAAAAAAAGTCTTTCTAGTAATGTTTAATGATATATCTTATTGCTTTATGAATTTAAAGATTTACTATATTACTAAATTTATACATTTTTGTCACTTAGTTGTCCATCATAAGTATATGTTACTATCAATTAACTATCCATTTGAAGGCTTCCTTCCTATCTATGCAATAGCCTGACCCCAAAATTCACATCTTACCTTCTCTCCATTTACAAACCTAATACTAACCTTCTAGCTTTTCCAGATCTCCTAGTCTCCCAATACAAACAATCTTCTTAGCAGCTCTCTCACATATGCAGATGATTACACTGTGGTATGGTGGGAAAAAATGCTAGACCTGTAGCCAAGAAATCTGTTGTTGTTGTTCAATCATTTTCGGTTGTGTCCAACTTTTTGTGACCCCATTTGGGTCTAGCTGCCCTGTCAAGAAATACCTGGGTGTGGCTCCAACATGCCTAGTTGTGTGTTCCTGGACAAATCATTAACCACTGAGTTTTAATTCCCTCATCTATAAACTAGGTACTATCTGCCTCATGGAGCTGTTATGAATAAATGAGTTAGTATATGTAAAGTCTTTTACAAACCTTAAAGTATAATATAAAAGTGAGTTTTAATATAACGATATTCTGTCTCCTTCTCTTACAAGGCCCCTAGAATGTAGAAACAAACCTAATAACCTGAAAACCTAGGAACTGATGCTCATTAATCCTGAGCTCACTCCATACCCCTCTCTGACCTCTAACCCTAGAAGCAGCAATGCTTCACTAGTAGATCCAAGAATGTGACATAGGCTTACATCAAAACCCACTCCTTCTCTCCTCTTTCCAGTGCCATGGAGACTCTAGCTCCAGGCTGAAGAGGTTTGTTTGGGATTTGAC